CCAACAATGGGACTTTTAGGACCTAGCCCACGCGAGTTAGATTCCGCCTGACGTTAAATAGTAATAAATAAATAAATAGGTACCTAATACCGAAAAGTATTTAACTAGGTGTTTTATTTTATATATAATTTTATTTATAATATAGTTATGTGATTACCTAAGAGGGTGTTGTAGTGTATGTATCTATGTATGTCGGTTATCGCCTGAGATTAAGTGTTAAGGTAAGAGGGATTTGTGAGGGTATGTAGTATAGAGGAATTAATACCTGCTTCGCGGGAGGCTTGCGACGGGAGTGTTAAGGGTGGGCTTGTGAGTTTGGATGGTAGGCTTATGAGTAAGGATAGAGAGGAATGTCTGAGTTGGGATAGAAGGGAATAGGCTGAGTTAAGGATGGAAGGAAAGAAGGGATCTTTTTAGGGGGGGTGATGTATGTGTGTATGTATTTCTTAGCTGCTTCGTTGTGAGCGCATGTTGTTGGTTTGTTGATTAAGGGTTTGTATTAGTACTAGCTGGTAGTATAGGGGAGATGATTTAGCGTGAGTGAGGTTTTGTTTGTTTGGGGTAGGGGTGTTAGATATATATAGAGTTTATGGTGGATTGTTGTAATAGTAGTGGAGATATGGAATATATAGAGGAGGGAAGGGAAATAGGTACTTAAGATATAAGCGAAGTTATATTTGGAATCGGGACAGGGATATACTTCTAAAGAGCTACCGATTTAGATTCGAACTGGTTGTGAGAGGCCAGACCTCGAACAACTCAAAGGTGTGGGTTCAATATTCAATTAAGAACTACGTGGTCTGTAAATATATGTTCCTCCTCTACTCTTATACTAAATGTAGCATTTCCATTGCATTCGACACAGTTCCATAGTATTACCAATCTTCTGCGTCATAGCATTCTATCTTATTCCATGGCGTTCCAGAGGCGGGGTCGCTTAGCTTAGCGAGGGCTCTTGGCCCGAGCCCCACTATGGGTTCTAACCCTCACACTAGTATATTTATTTAGATTAGTCTAACGGATTAGTACTTATAAGTACTCTACTTTGCCTAGTTTACAGCGGATATCTAAGTTAAATCTTAATAAAAACTTCGAGGCTCTAATTAAGCGTAGGTTCAGTTTTTTAGTCGAAATCGACGAAGTAATATCCGAATTTTTAACCAACCCTGGGATGGCCTTATGGTTCGTAAATACAGTTGTTATTGGTTTCCGGGTTAACTTAATCTTATCCCGGATTTTCCGGACTACCTCCCCTTGAAAAAGCCTGCCGGTCCTGTCCAGTAGTGAATACAAATAAAAGCAAAATCAAATGTCCCTTTTCTATATCAGATTCCGTGGGCATATTTCTTAAATAACAAATCTTCTCGGCCTCCCCTCAGGTTGTATGATCTTCGTCCCGAGGTACTGTGTTCAACTATCGCACTTCCCTATCCATCAGTCGCCTTGCTTTCTCGAGAATACCTTCATGGCCTTGTATTTCTTGGATTAACGCGTGGTGGACTCGATCTTGCGCTTCCCTTGGTTGTATTTCATTGTAAGAGAGGCGAACATTACTCTGTACACACCTGAGTTATAAAAAAGAATTATCCTAGACTTTACACAACTAACTTAATTATACGAACAGTCTAGAACAATTGAAACTTCTTACTGCTGATTAACCTAGGTAAAATAGCGTAATTGATTTACTTGTGCTAGACTTATGGCATAATGAACTTTGATAGCGTGTGTACAGAGCAATGCCCGCCTATCTTACCATGGTTTTGCCGCTGCTAGAACTCGATTTTGCAAACCTTGTACATGCAGTGCTATCATTGTGAGGGCTCTTTTGTAGGGGAATGTGGCATGGTTTGGTGTTTTGGTGCTTCGCTTAGTGAATACAATAGTGGGATGGAGTTGCCTATTCGAAGCTAGTGTGGAATTGCCCAAAGGGGAATAGCGTAGCCTCTTGTCATGTATAAATAATAGCTAGCTCTAGGACTTCTTAGAAGACTCGCGATCAATCTCAACCTTATTCTGAAATAGTCCTTGTACGCTCCTAGTAATACTCTGACAATCATCTGTCAAAGGCACTGTATAGTGCAGAGTGAATGGGTGTAAGAGAGTTGAATAAATCACTAAACTACCTGGGTGGTAATGTATAGGGACTCGGTGACCGACGAGTTATATAACTACGAGTATGACCGCTGTTATATGACTGCGGTCTAAACGTTGTAGTCACTTTGTATTTCTACTTATTTAATACTTTTCAAGTAGCTAGAAGCTATTAGATCAAGGGCAATAGAGCCTATTTACTAGTATCCTTTCTTACCTTTCTTACCTTTCTCTATGTTTGTTTTAGTTTCTACTTTACTTCATACCCAGCTCCCCCCAAGCCATGTGCTATACTCTCAGGTAACAAGATAATTTGGGGCCTCGATTGCGGTGTACCAGTCTGGGATCCCAGATGGACGATAGGATAACCTTTTCACCTGGCTCTGTCTCCCTAATCATGACCTCCCGATCTTTCCTACAATCGACTTCAACAATCCTATCGACCGTTGGGGCCTTAATGGAATAACCACTTGGACCAATCTTTCATATATTGCAGCCCTTATTATCTTATTGTGTATGAACATCTTGAACGAAATTCGCTGTGCTTTCTGGCCGAGTACTTTCGACTCTAATGATCACATCCTGAAGGAAAGGCGACCTTTTGGTATAGCTGCATTAAGTCGTACCCCTCTACACCGTATTCTCTGGTCAGATCTGGGTTCCAGAAAGAAGCACTGCATAATCATCTTTTGTAGCTCGGAAGTGCCAGAGAAGAAGTGTAACCCTAACTTGGTCCCTGAAACTGGGTATCGAATACAATATTTAAAGGTCGGGAGCTACGACATCCCGAATCTACGATTAAACTAGATGACTTAATCGCAAATTACAAATCGTAAACACTCGATTTGAAGGTTATTTTGTAAGAAATCGTAATTCGTAAATAATAAAGTGGCTTAGGGTTAGAGTTATATACTAGCGCTAGAATTAAAGGTAAAATCACTCGATATAAGTATATAAGCTTGAATTTAACGCGAATACTCCTACCCTCAAATATAACTTGAACGCTCCTTTAACTCTACCCTCCTATTATATACTCCCGCTCTAGTAGCTAGAGGTTTTATTATAACGTAACCCCCCGCCCCCCGGCAAACAAATACCCCCTATCCCTTCTTATTATTACTATTACTATTACTATCGCAGTCTTAAAGAGTTATTATAAATAAAGAGGAGAGAAAGTAGGAGGGGGAAAGAGGATAGGTAAGTAGTAAGCGATTATTAGTGTAACACGTGCTAGCCTAGCCTCTTTAGGAAGGTAGTATTAGGGGCTAGGAATAAGTAACACGTACGAAAATATTTCCCCGCTTCTATCCCCTACGCTGCCCCCCCCCCTCTCTCTTCTAAACAGCATACTAGGGAACAAACCTTATATAACAGCGAGGGTAAACGATAGTGAGGGTAAACGACAGCGAGGGTAAACGATAGTGAGGGTAAACGACAGCGAGGGTAAACGACAGCGAGGGTAAACGACAGTGATGGTAAACGACAGCAAGGGTAAACGACAGCGATAGTAAACGACAGCAAGGGTAAACGACAGCGATAGTAAACGACAGCGAGGGAAGCAACAGCAAGGGCGGGTAATAGCGAGGGCAAGCGATAGCAAGGGTAACAAGTGTACGCGCGAAAATTTTAAGGCTGTGAAGTTTAAGCGAGGGTAGGGGTGTGAGGATATAGGCACAAGAGTAGGTAGTAGTAGTAAATATAAGCTACTACTACCTACCTTTTACGATTTACAATTTGCGATTTAGTTATCTGGTTTAGTTATAGATTCGGGATATCGTAGGAGCTCAAAAGCTATTTAAAAAAAAAGCTAAACTATAAGAATATAAACTTTCCGAAGACTTTTTTCCTAAATTAATTTATATATTCGCGTAAGCTTTTTAATATTATCTAAATATTCCAATACTCTTTATATAGCTAAGTTATAAAAATTAATTCCTTAGATATAATATGTTAATAACTTTTCTATATTCACTTATATTTATCTTGATATTCCCTTTTTCTAAAGCTATTAGAAAAGCTAGGTTATATAAATTATATCCATAGATATTAGATACTAAGTTTTTTTTGAAATTCGCGTAACATCTTTGTGTAAATTAAATTACTAAAACCTTCTTATATAGCTAAGCGAAAAGAAACAAAAACAGAGAATAATCTTCAAGTATTCTAGTAAATTACTCCAATGATATTACTATCCATATCTTAAGTAATTTTGATTACTTGAAACTGTTAGATCAATAATGTTAGAAGGAGGAAAACACGCCTTGGCTACTAATGCTGGTTATTCTATACTTTTGTGGTTGTGCAGTGGTTACGCAGTTTTGTCGGCTAAGATTCGGTTGCCTCTGCCGATTAGCTAGCGAGCGAGATTGTGTCAACAACCGACAAGGCAGTCGCGACTCTGACTTTTCCTAGCCTCTTGCACCTCCACCTACCGACCACCACCAACATGTCCTCCCCCGCGCCACCACCACCAATGCCCTCTATCAGAGAGGAAATATACCGCCGCGCCCTTCTAAAGGGCATCTCCAAAGAGGAGGTCACTCGCGTCTTTGGCCAAAAGGTCAAAGACGTGAGGGGCCTCCTCCACGGACGTTCCCATCTGTCAAATCTGCAACGCGCAGAGTACTTTGTCTGGGCCCATTTTTGTAAGTTGCTACCTCTTCACAGTATCTTCAGCTTTGAAGTGTCTGTTCTTGGCTATATGCGCTTCGATCCTCGAAGCTCAAGGCTGACCATCTTTGCGATACAGTTCAGGATGAGCCATTTCCTGGAAAGATTGACCCTGCTGCCGCTGCCGCTGCCGCTACTCTGCTCTCTCCGTCCTCCCCATCCTCCTCATCTCCCGCCCCGCTGGGCCAGACCCAGCTCCAACAGCTCGCAGAGAGCACTGGCTCTGCGAGGATGGACTTGCTGTTTAGCAGCAGTCCTGTGGATGTGGTGGAGAGAAGAGGATCTGGTGGAGTTCCTTGGGTCCATGACAAGTATCGCGACCTCCCAAGACAACGAGAAGCGGATAGATATAGACCAGAACGCCCCGCCTCTCGCTCTGACAGACAATCAGAGGTTGTCCCACCTCCTGTGCGTCTAGAAGCCGCAAAAGCACGCCCCGCCGACATGTCCAAGGAATTATTCCGCGTCCAGGAAGATATTTTGCAAAGTGAAGTTCTTGCACTGGGTCACAAGAGGAGCGAGTTTTTCATTTATCTCCAGGACGCTCGTATGCAAGCAAGAAATGAACACCCAAATTGCTCTCAAGCAGTCAAACATTATCTTGCAAATTCTGCTGTTTGGAGAGAGTTCGGTGGGTTTTGATCCCCTGGCACGTACTTCTTTAATGCTAATGACTCAAAAGTTGGTGGAAAGTATCCCGGCTCTGCGCCAGATCCACAGGAGCATAGCACGACCTGCCTCCTTGATAGAGCTCCGGACCAGTTCCTAGACATGTCTAGCTTTCGCTTTGCCCATCAGCAAGTTCGCTCAAACCATCCAACACCTCGAGCTATCAAAGAGTCTATGAAGGTTGCCGCCGAGGTTTCTGTCAAAGCGCCCTTCATACATCCTGACCGAGCCCCCATTATATCTTCAGCCAACCCCTCCTCCAGATCCTCAGCATTTCCGTCAGAGTCTGGACCCGTTGATGACCGAGCTGATAATACCGAGTTGACTGCTCGTGCTGCCGTCTCAGTACAAGAACCAAAAGTGGCCAAACCAGCTCAGATCCAACCACCACAAGGCTATCTTATTGTACAGGGAAAGCTCATACCTTGTCGGCTTGAGGATATCAAGAATGTTACGTATGCTTGGATGACAGACTGTCACCGGGGGGTTGTTGAGGAAAGCCTTGGGTGCAAGTTCGCCGTTATTCAGAGAACACCAGACAGTGGATTCCGTTTAAATGTTGTTGCTGCGGAGCCACACAGTAGCTCTGTTGTTGAAAAGAATGGCATTAAGTTCTTGAATAAGTGGGTTGAGCATATCCTTGGTGGGGATGCTGTACAGATGTCTGTTTATGTAAGTCCCTATTCAACTCCAAGTCCTTTCCCTACTCGCTCTGCCTTTCATTCTTTGTTGCAAAAGTATGTAGAAACTAATTTCTCATTATCTAGTGGACTTTCCACGCTCAAGCTCATGGTCTCGCAAACTCGACCGTTGAAACGAACTATGGTTCATCTGCCCGACTCGTATCCGACCCTCTGAAAGCAGATTCTAGGGCAAATAGTACACCTGTCACCTCAGACTGTGGCTCATCTGCTCCACAGTCACCCGCTCCTATCAAGTCGGCTACTGGTGCAAATAACACACCCATTGGCACGAAACATGGTCCACCTGTCTTTCGTCCAGTTGCCCCAATGCAAGAAGATACTGGAGGAGATATCACACCTGCTGGCACAAAATATGGTTCATCTCCACTCGCATCCAGCTCTATGAAAGCTATGAAAGCAGCAACAGGGGCAAATGGCACAGCGAATTATGGTACATCTGCTCCCACATCATCTGCTCTTGGAAAATCGGCGACTGGCGCAAATGATACACCTGTTGGCCCACGTCGATTTAATAACACAACAACGAGTCTCAATACTTCAAACAAAACAGTTGTTAAGAAGTCTGAATCTGAGAATGAATTTTCGGAGGAAGAGTACGAAAGTGATGTGGAGATATATTGTGGTGAGCCTTCAGTCTCAACCTGGAAGCTTGGAGAAAAGCGCAAGGCAGATGATGATAAGAAGTATGGTCAGGCTGAGAAGAAACAAAAAGTAGACTGAATGTTTACAGAGATGTATGTTGAGAATTTGGGCTAAGCAGTGAGCATAGGAAAGTTAGAGCTATCAGAGATTCATTCAATTGTGTATGGTAGATTGGATGGAATTGTAGAGTATGAAATACTGAAAACAGTTTGCAATCTTTACCTTCTCGCTAATCATTGCTGCCGCTTCGTGTTATAAAAGTGGGAAACTGGTTCCCACTTAATTATGAGCAAGATAGAAGCTTGAATTACCCAAACCAAGTTTGGTTGATCCTCTCGTGAAGCAATGTCAGAAAATACAGGAACAAAAGAAACAAACAAACCCACATATTGCTCACCTCAAACCCAAACATGAACACAAACAAGAAGTGAAACAACAGAGACAGCAATCTATAACGCAAACTTCTGACAAATATAAGGAATTCACCCTCAGCTGTTTCTTCTCTCAGAGTGTTGTGCAGCTTGTATAGCAGATTTGATTATGATATAGAATATGAAACATCAAAACATTCTTACAATTCATACCTCCTTTGCTCTAGTACGTGCTGTCGCTTAACTTTATGAAAACACAAAACATTCTCTGAGCGTCATAATATTCAGCCAAAATCCTAAAAGTACCAAAAGAGATGTCTTGGTTCCATATTACACTTTTCAAGGTTGTTGCTACCAAAAAGGAAGTTGCAATTCAGAAGTTGCATCACGTGTGTTCGTGTCTTAGCGTGAACATGCCCTGCAGGGGCTGGTTTTGATACTCCCGCCAAAGTCACCAGTTCATATAAAACACAACGTTTGGCGGGCAGAAAAAGATATCTTTTATGCCAGTTCTTCAAGAATCTTTACAATGAATATTTCTACCTCCTCCCAATGCTTTTATAATGTCTTTTTGGGGCTGGTTGGCCTGTGAATAGGTTGTTGTACAGAAGTCAATACGGCCGGAGTTCAACCGACCCGCCTCAAATCGCGTCTTTCAAGATTTGGCAACAGTCTCCTTCCACCTCCAAGCAGAACCGCAGACAATTGTCATCTTGAATTGTTGAGCTGACTGGGCTCCTTCAGTACCGTCACCTCAGAAGGAGGACAGATCATTCAAGATGTCTACCTTCCGTGGTGTAATGAAGGAGTTTCCTGACGTGCGAGGTACGTCTCTTTCAATGCCCCTCCTCCGCGTCTCTTCTGCCCCTCTTCTGCTCCTCTTCCATGCCCTGCTAACCTTACTTCAGTGGATTTCTTTCGAAGAGATCCTGCGCTTCGTCCACCCCTGGCCTGCTTCCTCAGTCATGTACATAGTGATCACCTTGCAGGGCTTGAAAGCTTCAAATCCCCGTTGTAAGTGTGATCTGCGTCTGAACAATAGGTATTGTCTTGCTGATCATGTGTGTACAGCATCTACTGCTCCGCGGCGACGAAAGAAATGCTCCTCAAGTTGGAAAGATACCAGCATCAGTTGAACTTTGAGCTTGGAATACTGGAATCACGGAAGTTACAGTACAAGCACTTACAGAACCTCTTGGTAGGTTTATTCTGTGGTGCAGGTCATGCATGCAGTCTAGCTTACATGTTTCTAGAAGCCAATTCCGCTTGAGACGCCTACTCGAATTGAGCTCTCGCCGGGAGATGAGATTCAAGTCACTCTGTTTGATGCAAATCATTGTACTGGCGCTGTCATGCTTCGTAAGTTCCACTCCTTCAGCTTCAACTTTTGATTGCTGATTCGGGCGCAGTATTTGAAGGCGAGAACAAAGCAGTCCTTTACACGGGAGACATACGATCAGAGCCATGGTTCGTCAACAATTTGGCAAGAAATCCGTTCTTGATGGAGTATACCACAGGCATGAAGACGCTTGAGTGCGTTTACTTGGACACGAGCAATCTGGGCCCGTATGAGTTCCCGACCAAGGCCGAAGGTTTGAAAGAACTGCTACAAAAAGTCTCAAAGTATCCGGCAGATACCGTTTTCCATTTCTCGGCTTGGACTTTCGGGTACGAAGAAGTCTGGATGACGCTTTCTCGATTTCTGAATTCTCCGGTATGTCTCTTATACAATTCCCACCCAAAATCTTTCAACACTAACACCGATAGATTCATGTCAGCAAATACAACATGCGACTATACAGATCACTCGGCGGACCCGAAAATAATTCTGGCTCAGCACTCGCCCCTGAGGCTTTATATTTGACTGGCTATACTGTTGGCAACACACCTCGTCACGGATGCTTGACAACCGACAACAATGTACGCCTTCATAGTTGCCGCAAAGGAACGAATTGCCCCGCGATCAATGATAGCATCGTATGGATCCAGCCCATTGTGGCAAGAACCAAATCTGGAGCTGAGATTGCAGAGGTTGGAGTTGGTGGTGGTGATGGAGATCTCTCGCAGAGCCCACAACTTGACCTCAACAACCCTGCCGTATTTCAAAAACTTCTTCAACTGTAAGGCTATGATTTTGTGCTATTACGGCTTTTTCAAAAACTAATCTACCACCAGGGTCTCCAATGGCGAGGGTGCTGCCGACCTCAAACTCGCACTGTCTACAGCTTTTCGCTCTTTGACAAAGGTTCTGACACTCGACGATGCGGACTTTGAAAAAGGAGACGAGACTAGTCTTACTGATCTAATCAAGACCATGACAAAATCGCCCACGACCAAGAAAAGAGCCAGCCCAGCTCCGCCTCCAGCGTCCACTCTTCCAACTTCTGCCGATAAGGATGGTCTTCCTAAGCTCATTACTTTCCCATACTCACGCCACTCTTCATTGCCTGAACTTCAAGACTTGGTCAGAATCTTTAAGCCCAAGGATGTGTATCCATGTACCGTCGACGAAGTCAGCTGGCACGAAGGTAAGATAATCGGTCATCCTTCTATAAACACCATCCTTTTTTTATACCAGGCTCAAGGGATATTTGAAGCTGTTATCCGAGAAGGCATAGAACAATTCAGAAATGGCCTTTCTAATTGTTGTAGACCTTATCTGATACCAAGTCCCTTTAATCCCCATTCCATAATGATATTGGATGCTAATACCACCCTTATAGCTATTAGCATGGAAAGTTTATTCGGGTCTCATTGCTCCGATAAAATCTTTCGACACGACATAGAGATGCGCGAAATTCAAGCCGAGATGAGAATTCAATTCGATACTCTTGCCACTCAGCAAACAAAAACCACTGAGAAGTCGCAGTTGAGCTCCTATGGGGATAGTACTCCGACACCAGTGACCCCTTCTCCCAACAAACCTGCTGTTCAGAGCTCTAGACCTGAAGATAGCGTAACATCGCTTGACGGTCGTCCTCCCGGCGCTCGTCGTACTCTTAGTGGGACTCCTCCTACAGGGACTCTTTTTGACTCATCACCAGGAGGAAATTCGCAGTCTTTGCGTAGAAAAGCAGTAGGAGACGGCTTCGATCCAGAGGACCGCTCGAAGCGACCACGTCTCAGTCCCTCATCAGTCAACTCTACGCTTCTCCCCCGAAGTAACAATGGTCCAGCTGCGATTTTAGCAGACAACAAAGAATCTGCGATTGCCCAAACTACGGTGGGTCTGAGCTCCAAGGCAAATACACAGCCTGTGCTTGTTGAACAAAAAATACACTCTAAGCACGCAGAACAAGACGTAAATGAAATGCTACAGAACTCTTCCAGTTCACTCGGATCCGTCCATCCAAGTAGCGAATCCGACTCCGGTAGCGACTCAGAATCCGGAATCCCTCATACTTATGAGAGTGGTAGTTTGTATTTCGGACTCGAGTGGGATAGTTATGGAACATGGAACGACAGAGTCGATCGCGTGGTTCGTTGTGGAAGATGCAGTCATGAGTATTGGGGCAAATATGCTGGATGCTGCACCAATTGTAGCCCGCTTAAGGTCCGAGGCCAGCTTTCAGATGAAGAAATTGAAGTGCTTCCATATGTGGAGGTACAAAAGCCACACACGGAGCTCAATGAAGACGGATATCGTCCACTTCCAACCTACGAGATTAACCCGGATATGCGAGATCCTTACGGTGAGGAGACTTTGATTTCACACCAAGACATTTGCGAGCCGTATCTTGATTGTGGCTCATCTGCATATGATTCTCAAGACGATGACCCAGACTTTCAACAACAGTACGAAATCAATAGCTTCATCGACGACGATGAACCGGAGTCTGAGAGCGAGGATGAAGATGTTCATGATGACGAAATAGACTACAAGGAGAAGTTTCTCAAGGCCGAGGAAGACCACCGTGCGCTTCAGCAAAGTCACCTCGCGCTGCGCAACCGACACGCAGCACTGACGGCTGATTTCGAAGGCTTGCGACGTGATATCTTGGGGTCGGAATTTGATAGCGAGGATATGCTTGAGTATGCAGAAGACTTGGAGGGTGGCTTGGAAGATGGACTTTTGGTTGTGGATGTTCCGCCGCCAGATCCTCTTCTTGCGGAGGTTGTGCTTACAGATAGCGGGGCTGAAGATACATCAAATGATTCTCTGATGGGTGAGTTGCGTGAGTTGGAACGCGTGAACGATGAGCAGTCTGCAGCTGGTGCGGGTGTTGGCTCTAGTGTGCACGGTGGGGAATATGGTATGGTTACACCTGAGAATAATCATACCGTTATGGAGGATGAGTTGTAGATATGGGATGTTGACTTTACTTACCAGCTTTGGGGGTTTTGGCGCATTTAAGGGGTGTTTACGGGGGGTTACGTTGCTTGCTCGTTTTGCTTTTTGGGGGGTGGTGGCGTTAAGATACCCATTTTGATGCTTTGCTGCTTCTTTTGCTATCCTTTTTATGGGATGATAGGATGGGTATTAAATGGAAATGATGGATCAATGATGTTATGATGGGAGGGGATCATGGTTGTGGTTGTGGTTGTGGTTGTGGCTGTGATGGATGTGGAGTAGATAGACTTGACCTTGCTGGCTAGCTAGCTGGACACAAACAGATAGGCCAACTGAACGAGCGAAAGAATTGAGAAGATATTTCCATTAGCAGCTGGATCTTGAGAGTTCAAGAACTTGGACGTAATGAGATGGAATGTGTTTCTGGTAGTTGGATTTGCGAGTGCCCGTGATGATGTTGTGGCTCGGCGGTCTTGTCTATTTGTTTATACAGAAATTAAGATTAATATTGTTTGTGTATGGGTATTGGCAAGGTGGGGTTAAAGGGAGGAAGCTGATGGGAGGATGGATGGGAGATTTGTAGATAGTGGGAGTTTCGATGTACTATACTAGTTTTAGAAGAGCGTTTTAATAGAGCTAAGTTATATTTAGAGCCTATTTTCCGACGATAATAAGCCTTAATATACTATAGAGGAAGTGTCCTTAGAAGATCTATAATAGAACCCCTTAGAACCGGTAGGCAAAAGTAGATCTTATACTCTACTAGCTAGAATTATAAGCGAGAAACGTCTTCTAGAATAGATATAGTATATAGGGTAATAGAGCCTAATAGGATCTAAACCCCTAAGTGAACGTACAATAATATAAGGTAGTATATTCCATAGTAAATGCTTTAATTAGTTTTAGATAAACATGGATATAAGGATACTAGATATAAGGATAACCTCGTTTATATCCTTAAATTTCGGGTCCCGATCTTTTTAGTGTATATACTAAGACCCTTGCTATAAGGATAACCTCGGTTACGGAGTATACCCTTATGAAACTTGCCCCCATGAATATCCTTATATCCAGGTTTATCTGTACTCTCTAAATTATGTAATATAGCTAGGTTTCTTAACTAGATAGAGACTTAGACTATAGACGCCTATAAAACACTAGGAATAGGGTATATAGAGCGCTCGCAAGGACGATATTAAGGTCGACTTATTGCTGCTAAGCAAAAAGTCCTTTTTACATATCTTTTGGTGGTAAGAATATTGTGCTTTCATATCCTAGGGATTAAGGCTTACTAGGCACTTGGCTCTGTACGTGGACGGAGTCTTGGATGATCCATATGATATGCTATTCGACAATATTGCGGCTCAATATCGTCTCGGAAAACAGGCTCCAACTCAACTACGAATTTGACTTGTTGAAAAATGCTGAATAGCGATTGTACGTACGTGCTAGGACGCCCGTCCGTGCGTTTGTCACTAGGAGATATGTGGATAACTTCTTGTATTGATAACTTGTCCCGAAGGACGTCTGTAAACCGCTTATTTCTATAACAAAAACACTTTTTGATTTCAGGTTCCGTCCACCCACTCCAGGCAGTTTATATATTGCTTTTAAAACCGTAAAAAACATCCCGCACTGAACTTATTTCGCCTTACTGCATAAATTACAGCAGTAAATCCCCGGCCCGCTTGCATTGGCGCAATTCACCTTGCCTCCCGCACACTTTCCGCCGTTATAGCCGGGCGATCCGGGGTTTTCGATGAGGCAGCCGTCGCCTTGGGTTTGTACTGTTGCTGCGCTGAGGAGGACGGCTGCGAGGAGGGTGAGGAAGTGTTTGGAGGCGAACATGGTTGGATGGGGACGTTGATGAAGGGGTTTTGGAAGGTCGTTGTGGGAGTGATGAGATGTGAGTGTTGTAGTATTTGAGATTGGACGGAGTGAGAGTTTGTGGATGAGATGATAGTGATACTTCCCTCGGTCGGAAGGTGGCGGCGTCGTTTATATACAAAATGAGGACGGTACTGTGCACGTACTAGTGTTTATACTTTGTTCTCGGCATGAATCCGATGTTAAAGACGGTTATGGTTAAAGCTAGACTCTGTCAACTTTCTTAACTCTTATGCCAGACACTTAGGTGAGACGACATAAAGTTAGAATACAAGCTTGACGCATAAAAAAAAGGCCGTCGCCGTAGACTTCTAGCCACTTAGAGGCTCCGGACAAGCCTTGGTACCTATCCACTCTTACCCCACTTAAATGCCTTCGACACGATTCGTCACTGTGAATTACTTCGTCTCATGAGTAATCTACTAATCTTGCTGGTTTACCGCCAAGTAGTAATTGTAACTTTTCTTAGGGTGGGGTACGGGTAGCTTTATGGAAACTCCCGTGAAGGTAATAATTCTTATACTAACTTCGGAGTAAAGAGGGCGGAAGTATCGGACAATCTACCCTAAATACCGAATTGATGTTAGTGGGGTTAACACGCAGATACCATTCCTTATTTATTCTAAGTTTAGTTAATCTTTATTTATTACGCCTCGGAAAAAGTAGGACGAAGGTAACATCCTTCGTATATTATTATAAATCGTCTCTAAAACATTTAGGTAGGACAACAATAGATAATACTAAGGGTTGTTCGAAGACTCTAAGTGGCTAGAAGTTTATAGCGAAGGCCTCTTTTCTTACGTAGAGCTTGTAGTCGAACTATTTCAGATAGGGACCGTAGAAAGCTCATCTCCAAGTAGCCTAATAATCAAAATAATGACTCTGTACTATAAGGCGTTAAATATTTTTTGAATTCACAGAGCTAGGATAAAGACAAACTCAAGCTACTACTACTACAACCAGCAGCCGAACAATCTTCCCTCTCTACACACTCCCTACCCAGCCCAACCCCGCCATCCTATCCCATCATCTCAAAACCCTCCTTATCCTCCCTTCTCTCCCTTTCTACCTCTCACCCAACTTTCACCTAAACACAAACCAAAACACCCCTCATCCCCTCATCCTCCATCCCCTCATCCCCTCCCCTCTAATAACTCTTACAACAAACAATCACCGACCCAGGAGCATTATCGCAAAACGTAAATGGTACCTTACACTTCCCGGGCCCGTTATAATAGTGCGTACCCATGTTTTCGATTTGGTAGCGGACGGTTACTATACCGAGGAGTAGGTATAGAGGGGTTATAAAAAGGAGGGGGTATAAGGAAGTAGTAGATATAGTTAGAATAAATATAAGTAGTAGTAGAGTTAGTTAGTATATATATATATATTTACTTATTTAAGAATAAAAAACAAGGTAGTAAATAAAATAAAATAAATTTAATAAACTTAAAAGAAATATAAAGCTTTTACTTAAATTCGAAAGTATAATGTTATTCTTTATATATAAGTTAAATAAAAGAATATAATATATATATTAGTATTTATTTATATAATAGTCTCAACCTAACTCGGTGTAACGAATACTCAAACTGGCTAACTAAACTTGGCTGGGTGTTCGCTGGTTGGTATGCTATGATAAGAAGAAGACTATCGGGTTGTTCACTTGGAAGTGAACTCGTTACTTGTATCAAAGATGTCAAACAAATATGATAAGATTGATAACTAAGTTGAGCACGAAGCTCCTATCTAATGGCAGACGTGCCAGTCTTATATAGAACCTTCATACCCCGCGTATGGTCCGAGTATAGAGTAGTATAAGCCTTCCTTATACTTCCTTATACTCCGGTAGTATAGAGTAGTATAAGCCTCCCTTATACTTCCTCATACTCCCTAGTCACATGATCTTCTGTAAGGAAGAAATCCTTGGATCGCCTAGCTACCCTAAGCGATCCCCATTTGCTATAAGAAATCTGAATGTGCCTGTCGAGGGTTGCGCCTCTTATTATGACAAGTATCACGTGAACACGTGATTCGTGACATATAAGTTAATAAAATAAATATACCTGAATCTTAAAGAACTTTTAGAAACAAAGATATATAACTTACCTTCTATTACTCGCTTATAATATTTCACTTAGTAGAACGAATATATTATATTACTTTAGATTTAGTATAGATATTAATATATAAATACTTATATAGAATAAAACCGTTCTAAATACTTATTTAGATTTAGATTTTATAATATACTTATTTTAAGGGATTAGTAACGCGAGAGTATTATCTTTCGATTTTATAGCGGTAATTATTATAATATAAGTACTTATAGCTTTACTGTAACGAATACTCACACTGGCCAACTAAACTTGGCTGGGTGTTCGCTGGTTGGTATGCTATGATAAGAAGAAGACTATCGGGTTGTTCACTTGGAAGTGAACTCGTTACTTGTATCAAAGATGTCAAACAAATATGATAAGATTGATAACTAAGTTGAGCACGAAGCTCCTATCTAATGGCAGACGTTCCAGTCTTATATAGAACCTTCATACCCCGCGTATGGTCCGAGTATAGAGTAGTATAAGCCTTCCTTATACTTCCTTATACTCCCTAGTCACATGATCTCCTGTAAGGAAGAAATCCTTGGATCGCTTAGCTACCCTAAGCGATCCCTATTTGCTATAAGAAACCTGAATGTGCCTGTCGAGGGTTGCGCCTCTTATTATGACAAGTATCACGTGAACACGTGATGCTAGTTCCATTCCGGACACTTCTAGGCCGATAGATAGCTCTTATATTAGAGCCGTACCGCTTACCCTTAGCCAGCTGTTCTCTCTATTCTATGTTTTATATAGCTTATTCGAATAGTCTCCTATTTTATTCTTAATACTCTCCGCTTAAATGTCACGAATCACGTGTTCACATGATACCTGTCATAATAAGAGGCGCAACCCTCGACAGGCACATCCAGGTTTCTTATAGCAAATAGGGATCGTTTGGAGTAGCTAAGCGATCCAGGGATTTCTCTGTATTGCTATCACGTGATATTAGGAGTTCGCCAGTCAGCCGGGCGAACAGGCGAAGTTAGCCAGTTCGATTGTCGAACGAGCGTACATCGAGAGAACGAAGGTTCTATATAAGACTGGCACGTCTGCCATTAGATAGGAGCTTCGTGCTCAACTTAGTTATCAATCTTATCATATTAGTTTGACATCTTTGATACAAGTAACGAGTTCACTTCCAAGTGAACAACCCGATAGTCTTCTTCTTATCATAGCATACCAACCAGCGAACACCCAGCCAAGTTTAGTTAGCCAGTTTGAGTATTCGTTACATTAAACTACTTAGATAATTCTAGAGTTAATTATAACTCTATATGATTTAAACCAAGTATTTAAGAGGATAGAGCCTTGCTCTTGTTTTGTTTTTCGTGGCGGTTTACAATGTACTCGAGTAAAGGTACTTACGTGGTTAACTTTGCTTACCTATCCTATTAATCCAACATCGATGTTTCGAATCCCGAGAACCAATCATTCTATGCCCATGCAAGGCGGTTGGAAGACATCCCTGGATCTTGGCATATGGATGCTGCAGCCCTGCAGATAGTGGGTGATCTGGATCCTCTCCTGCCCCCTCTCTCAGCTTCACCGCTGGTAACTGGTTCTCGGTTGATGGTATGGTGACATGGAGGGGAAGCTTTGGGGTTGGTTGGTTGATTGGATGGGGTTCTTTGTGTTGTTTTTATGTGCTGTGCTGGTTTTGGGGTGGAGACGGGTCTGGACTTTTGCTTTGCTTATGAGAGGAGACGGAATGTGAGTTGGCGATGTACTGTACGTCGGGAATTCATTTGAGGCGTATGGGGGGTTAGTTTTGAGGTCCGGCTGGATGGAGGATGCAAAGCAGAAGAATGGTAACGCTGAAGAATTGGGTCTTGAAAGTGGCCGCAGGGGAATCTTGACATTGGATGAGATGAGTTAGCATGTAATTGGGTGGATGAATGACTTCCTGCTCGGTTAGCATGGAAAATGATGTCCCATGGATATGTGGGGAATTTGATTGGTTGGTATTCTTGATGGGTTTTAGTTGAATGGGTTGAGGTGTTCGTCAATTGCCAACTAATGGTGACCGTTTTCCGAGGCGTGGCCGTTGCATCGTAACCGGTTTTTGGGGTATGAGTTGTTGTAATAGAGCCACTTTTTGCGATTGGAGAGATAGTTCCATGATTTTGGGTGGTCGAGGGTTCCAGGTCGTTGGTGGGGTTGGGGATTATTGGATGTCGGGAGGAGGCCGTTTGGTGATGGCCTGGTGTGGAGATCTCACAGTTTCCCCGAGTCAGAATAAGTAGTAGATGGTGGAGAAAATCATGGGTTGGAGAGGGAAGGAAAGCAATAATTTAATTGGGTTTCGATTCGCGGAGAAACATTCCGGTTTTTGGAAGTTTGAAGCACAAGATAATGTCGTGATGTGGTGTTTGAAGCAACGAGGAAGGTCCGAGGTCTCAAGCCTATAGGTGACCGAGTTGGAGCGAGTCATTATTGGATGGACATTAGCGATGGGGGTTGTTTGAGTAAGATGAGCTGCATTGGGCGGCATGAGGGCGTTAGAGAAGGGATTGGATGTAAGTTTGTGTGGCTACGAAAGTTTGTATGTCAGCTGGACGTGATAACATGGCGATGTCGTCGTTCGACCATCGGGGTTTAATTGATGAATTTTGGGGGTACACTTGGCGGCCGCGAGGGGTTGCAATTGACAGCTGGACCGAGGAGGAAGGGGAAGGGAAATGGTTGAGAGGACACGGCCGCGGTCGCAGAGGGTGACGGACACCTTATATGTGAGCGATGGGATGCGTTGTCATTTTGAGAAGTTGAGGTGCCTGATGAAGTGTTGGTGTTGTGGTGTTTGTGAGCGAAAGGGTCGGTATCCGAGGTCATCGTGGGGGTTCGCGTAAAAGTTACTGTACTCCCCCTGTCTCGACCCTGACAACCGAAATGGAAATGTCTGAATGGCATTACCCTAGAAAGTAGAAAGTAGAGAACTACTCGGCAATCTGTTTTGTATGCTTATTTCGCACTTTGTGACTAGGCATTCCCCATCTACTGTAGAGAGCCGTAATTACCTTTGACTTTTGTATCAGGAACAGGAACCGGGCGAAGATGACGTCGAACACTACCGGGGCGTATTTTTAGTAGCAGACGAGTAGCGGCAGAACCAGTCTGGTAGTCTGGTAGTCTGGTACGTAAATACTTGGTCCCTACGTGGTTTATTCTACCTACCACTTCGACGACGTACTGATGAATGATTTGAAATACATCGGGCTAGGGTGAGTATGTAGGTAGGTAGTAGGTAGTGATTGATGACAAAATTGATCGCTAGACTCGTTCAAATGATGAGGGAAGGCAACCTGCATTTTGTATCCGATATCTGTACATGCATTGCCATTGCCTGTGCTTCTGCTTTTGTTTTGGTGTAACTTGTAACTGTCAACTGGTACGAAGTAAAAGGCTTTGAGTCTTGAGTGTTTCTGGTATTTAAGGGTCGAGTTCCAGTTCAGCGGCCCGGGAAATGCGGTGATCAAAGGATCATGTAGCACGAAAAAAAGACCCCTCGAGTGCCGGTGTACGGGACTAATCATTAATCACCGTGTAAGCCATAAAATAAGCAATATCTGAACAATCAGCTTGTGCGGTGCCGGATGCCGTAGCGGAGCGTGATGGTGGCTTCTCGCAGGCGAGTGAGTCCGTAAGTAGTGTGGGCATTAGCTGTACATTAGCTGCCCCAAACCTGGCCTGCATCTGCACCTGTGTACCCATATCGGAGCCAGCCAGCAAAGAGACGAGAGCGTACTGGTACGAGTACTGCGTAGACTAGTCTGGCCTCAACACCATCCCATCCCAAGGTAAGACGGACCTGACGGACCTGACTGAAGGGCAACAAGGATCGTGGGTCGTGTCTGTGTGCGCCAAAGAAGCACCGCACCACTTCATTTCTGTGACAGTGACAGTCCATTTGTACCAAGGAACACCCACCCATCGCTCCCTCTCCTCGTTCATCCCTTCCGCCGCTCCCCAAGAACCTCCTCCCGCCCCAAATCCAACCTCATACCAGACCCTCCTCTCTCAACGCTCGTACAATCACCGTCGTCCCTTCAGGCTTCAGCGTCCCCTCTCCGAGTCTCCAGCGGTCCCTCCAGTCCCTCCAGTCCCTCCAGTCCCTCCATTCCCACTCCACCAAAAGGGAAGGTCCGTACAAGTATCCCAGTACGTCTACGCCCACGCCCTCCGTACTTCTACATGATACAGCGATCAGCGGTGCCTACATACGTCGGGTCCAAATTCTTCGTCCAACCTCACCGCCAGCAATACCCCAGCACGACAGAACAACAACCGCCAGATCTCAGCGGCTTACACGACCCAACTTTGCAGTGTTGTGACGGTCGCTGGGCGGTCATTGAAGGTGGTGTTGTGAATCGTCATCTACTTGATTCACTTCGTGGCGCCCTTCACCTAAAATAAGAAATAAGAGGGGCCTCATTTCCATTCCAAGGCTCGATTCCTGGTCCATAACTTGACACCTCACACAATCATCTTCCGCACCTCGAACCGAACCTAACTCCTACCCTCTTCTGGAACCATACACACCCTTCGCCAGCGCATACCACCGCTCCAGAAAGGACTACGATCCACTCCGGACCGCAAAGACGCCTAAAGTAGCGACAACCCTATCGTGTTTTGATCGCTTCTACCGACTCCTTCTAAATCCCATGAACCAGATCCAACATCACCCATTGAATCGGAAAACCTCACTCTTACCAAAAATTCACCATGAAGGCCCGTCCAGTTGATCAAGTTGTCTACGAGTACATGTTTCCGAAGCCAAAATCTACGGATCCTCAGAATTTCCAGGTGCTGCTGCAGCGCTCACTCGTACCGGAAGTCCGCCTAGAAACACAAGCATTCTATGGACACCTCTCCTCGCAAGAGGCCAAATACCCGGGACTTGATTATGCATACGCCCCTCATCGCGTCCGCCTTTCTCGATTTCAATGGCACAGACGCCTATTCCGAGCATTCGACCATTTACAACTTACGGATGGTGAAATTGCAAATTTGACCAAATGGGAGGGAACTCGATGGGCCAAGGAACGATTTGAACGCGAACAGGGAATCGTGATTCGCGATACCACTGGAGATGGTATTGAACCATGGGTAGAACCACAACTTCGTGTTCAAACCGTCGCACAAGCTCATCGTGCAGAAGTGGAGGATATGGAGGACATTCAAGAAGATGGCGAGTCAGAGAATGAGGACTTGGATGAAGACGAGGGCGAAGATTCCGACGTTGAAATTCAAAGTGTGGGAATCGAGCTGAATGAACGACTTCGGGCAGCAGCAGCCCAACGTGAGGCTGGCAATGTTGGAACCATAATGGATGAAGAATGGGAGCAGTGGCTGAAAGAAGCCGCGGAAGCAGGAGGTTTACCTTTCTCAGACCTTACTCTCTCACCAAATGCGAACATTGAAGGCACCAGACCTGCTGGATCTGGCTCCTCGCGTTCTATGGACTCCCGAATGTTGAATGCAGCAAGATTAGGTCAATGGCAACAGATTCCCGATTTCCTCCACAACATCGTCCGACAGAATATCGAAGCACACAACCGACGTATGGAGGATGCTGCCATCACGTCACCTTCTAGTGCAGCATCAACGGCATCGAGAAATGCGGCTGCCTTCCCATCAGCACCCAGTCCAACGCCCCGGGTTCGAATGGTTCCCGCTGCACCAACCTCACACACCACACCGGCATGGGACTCTTCGCCCTCATCGCATCGACTGAATCCTCACATCCCCGACCAATTCTCTCGCGATCAACGACGATCAATGCCACTGTCAATGCCAGGTCACCTAATGAGCGGCACAGTAACACGAGGCACCTTCTCGCCGAGAAGAATCGGCGGTAGATTGTCTATGGGCACGAGCAGAAGCAACCCACAGAGCTAAATAGATCCTCGTATCTACGGATATCTTTTTCGTTATGGTCGAGGGATGATTATGGCGCGGAATGGGGGCGACTGTTTTGTTTTTCTTTCCTTGTGCGTCGGAACATAACTTTGGCTGGGCCATATACCATTTGCTTTTACAAGGGGCATGCTACCACCGGCGTTTCATTTAGCAAGGCGTTTTAATGGTTCATTTTTTTTTCTGCTCCCTCCTCTTTTACTTCTTTGACATTCGGTTTTCTCTTTTGTTCATCAGATACACGGGGTGAAAACTTGCATTTTCGGGCGGGTGGTGATTTTCTTTTTCTGATTTTTTTTTTCTCTTCTCGTTTTCCGTTTCCCGTTGGCCCCATAAAAGTGGTTTTCTTTCTCTTCTCTTTATCTCTGCTCCTTTGCATCTCTGAATCTAGATCTCTGGGGAGAGGAATTCCGCGGCTATGGCTGGAAGGGAAGAATCTGTGGATAGGAATATTGGTTGGTAGTGGGTGGGGCTTGTTTGCCCGTTCTTTTTGACGGGCTGGGCTAATAGGGATGAATGAATGGATGGGTGGATTGGTAATACATATGGGGGGTGATTAATACCGTTGTTGTTGTTGTTGTTGTTGTTGTTGTTGTTTGCTCGCTTGCTTTCTGGAATCCTATGGCCTGCTTGGGGGGAATAATGGGAAGGGAAGGGAGAAAGGGAGGAAATTAAAATTTTACGTATCTTTTGAGAGTTGAATGGAATTGGTGTGGAACATTATTCTTCTTTTGAAATTTTTTTTGTGGTGCTCTTCTTCTTTTTTTCTGCGACTTTGAGGTTGTGACGGTTCTAACCGTCACCACCATTCGGATCACGTGGTCTCGCTTAGCGACCCACACCAAGTATTTAGATCGAAGCTCTCTCGAGCTCTCCTCTTCTCCTCAGCTTAGAATCTTTGTTTTATTGACAGTTCTACGATTCCACAACCTACACCGTGGGCCTTGCGTACGTGTCGTCACAGAGGTTTTCTCGGGATGTCGGGTTCCTGGGGATAGAGTAGTGGTGCTTGCTTGTGTGGCTGATTAATCAGTTCGTTCATGCTCGGGGGAAAGAGGGAAGAGGGTAGAGGGGTTGCAGGGGATTAATTTGGGATGAGGATGGATTAGTGCTTATTGGTTGGTTGGTGGTTGGTGGGTGTTGATGATATTATATTATATTATATTATACAATTTTTTCCTATGTGTGTGTAGAGAGATGTGAGAGCTTGAGAAGTGGAGGGTCGG